CGGGCCACAACTGCGAAGCCGGTGAATGGCCGGCCAGGTACATTGTCCATATTCGAACATCACCTTTGTGGGACGCCTTGCATGAGCTTAGCAATATGGAGCTGGCGTGCGACTGCCCCATGGAGCACCTGTGCGAAGCGGACATGCTCATTGGCCTCTTCTTCGATGCCACCGCCCCTGGGGGTGACCCAATGCAGCGGGGCACCGATGGCCGATGGAGTAGGACTGTGGCATTGTTGCAAGGGATCCAGGCTATTCCCAGGGGGGTAGCCCTACCCATGATGAGCCAAGAAGCACTGGTATTGGCATTCCAAAAGCTTTTCCCCGAGCACTGGTTCAAGAACTACAAGTTTGCAATGATTGAAGACCTCATCAACAGCCCGCCCTTCTGCTCATATGCCACTTGGCTTGCAGAGCGAGGAGAAGCTTGGGACGGGCCCCTAGTCCCGCATCTGGCTGCCGGGTCAGTGAGGCAGCTTGCACGGATTGGGGACGGGTGCCAAGTGGGTGCGATGACACACCGTGCCGCTTTGCCCCCTCTGCTGCCGTTCAACTTGGATCCTGAGGACCACTTCAACCAAGCAGTCCAACGAGCCCAGCACCCGTTGCCCTACGAAGACCTCCCAGTCGTCGACTTAGACCTGGAGTTCGTAGCAGATGCCTATGTGGCACATGGCCAGCAGTTGCGCCCGTGGCGACAGCAGGCAGTCGGGGCCATGCGAGAGCTGAAGAGACGCTGGGAGGGGGTGACCCTCCACTTGCGATCCTTCCAAGAGCCGGCCGTCCAGCAGGTAACACGGCACCGCGATGTGGGGCTCATCGCATTGCTGATGCTGCTGACATCATGGGCAGACACCAGCTTTCCCTATGGTCTGATCCGTGGGCTGCCTGCAGTGGGCTACGCACCACCTTATGGGATATTCCCCCAACAGCCAGCTGAGGTGATCAGCATGGCAGATGTGTTGGAGGGATGGCAGGAACACAATCAGCACATCTTGGGCCAGCTGAGAGCAGGCAAGGATGATGAGTTCCTCCTGCAGCAGTCATTGGAGGACGCAGCGAATGGTTTCTGCACAGAGCCCTTGCGACGGACAGATTTCCTGCGGGCCATTGGCAACAAGGCCCATCGATTGATCCCGCGTTGCGTGATCACACAGAGCTCAGGCAAGCAGCGTGTGATCGACAATGGGGACACCGGAGGACAATCAGCCTTGTCGTCTGATGCTAACAAGCTCACATTGTGCAGTCCATTGCGTCCTGCCCAGCACATTCGCCTTGCAATGCATCGTTGGACAGAGGATGAGATGGCCGATTTCTTCGCGAACGATGCCTGGGAAACAGGACAAGAAGATCTGCCTTCAGCATACAGGTATTGCCCTATGGCATTGCAGGAAAGTCTGGGCTGCGTGGTGGTGTGGTACCATCACGAATGGCAAACCCCTGCATACCAAGTCTACGCTGGGCTACTCTTCGGACTGCCGCTGGCGGTTACATCATTCAACCGTTTTTCCAGACTATTGGAGGCACTAGCCAGGCGTTTTTGCCGAGTTTTGACATCCCTGTACTTTGATGATGCGACCATTACAGACTTGCAATCCTCAAAAGGGTCAGGCCAATGGGCCATGAATCAATTGTGTTCTCTTATCGGCTCCCCCTTCGCAGAGGACAAGAAACAACCAATGCAGAGCACCGGAACCTTTTTGGGATTGACTCATGATCTCAGCTCCATCAACCAAACAGGGCACGTACAGTTTTGGGCTCGAGAACGGCTCCATGACAAAGTACGTGACATGTTGGCAACAGCCAGGGTGACTGGCCATTTTAGCCGAGGGGCAGCATCGAAGCTGTACGGCTTGGCCAATTTCCTGGAACAGGGCATCTACGGTCGAGTGGGATATGGCGGCCTCATGGCCATCAAAGCCAGGCAAGACGAGACAACCTCGACCATCACTCCCGAGATTGAAGCATGCTTCGAGGTGATCGAAGCGGTTATGCGCTTTCAGCCAAAGCGGGAATTTCCCGTTCTGCACCTGGATCATCTGCGCTTTTTGGCAGCCTCCGACGCAGCTGTCGAAGCAGACAATCCTGGTTCAGGAGGTTTTCATCTGATCTTTTTCCAGCCTGACGGATCACAAATTCGTCACAGTTTTGTCGCGACCAACTGTGCAGAGCTCCGAACACTTTGGCAACCTGCAGAGACGCATATCGCCCAATTGGAACTATCTATGGTGCTCTACGCCCTTGTCGAAAGGCCTGATCTGTTTCGAAACCGACACGGCCTATGGTTTTTGGACAACGTAGCAGCCGTCATGACGCTAGTGAGAGGACGTTCTAGCAATGCCGACTTAGCGAAGCTAGGTCATTTGATCCATCTAGCTCTGTTTGCACTGCGAGCCCAAGGATATTGGGAGTACGTCCAGAGCAAGAGCAACTGGGCTGACGATATCAGCCGACTTGGCGTCAATGATCCATGGTGGCGATGCCATGGTTTTGAATTTTATTCGTCGTACCTCCCTACAATCTTGTTCCAGCTACCCTTTGCAGCTGTCATTCTCACCTTCGAATACCTTTAGTGCTTTGGGAATTGAGTGCATTGGGTGATTCCTGCAGAGCAGGTTCCAGCCTGGGTTGCCAGGCAGCTGACCAGTGGCGAAACTGGTCTGGGGCTATGTACGTGTCACATCGTGACAACCCAAAGCAAACCTGAGGATTGCAGGTGAAATTGACTGAGCATAGGCATAGCTGTGGAAAAAGAAAGCTGCGGGAGCGCGAGACAGTATCTGTTTCATATGACACTTTGAGATGTACCCATGCATTGAGTTTGGCAGGCTTGGGTGTGCATGTATCATCTTTAAGTGTTTCAATGAATGCTACCATTTTGGCTCAAGTAAACTTGAACCAAAATAGCATTCATTGCTGTTTTCTTTCCCCACCCTCCCAACCCTAAGAGCCGACCTCCCGTGGAGATGTCCGCCTAGGTTAGGGGAGCCTGCACGGCAGGCGAGTCCATAGCCTCTATCGGGGATCCTCTCTTGGGGCGACCAATAGAGTTTTTCCTTCCCTTAGGTTTAAGGGATGGGTGATTCCTGCAGAGCAGGTTCCAGCCTGGGTTGCCAGGCAGCTGACCAGTGGCGAAACTGGTCTGGGGCTATGTACGTGTCACATCGTGACAACCCAAAGCAAACCTGAGGATTGCAGGTGAAATTGACTGAGCATAGGCATAGCTGTGGAAAAAGAAAGCTGCGGGAGCGCGAGACAGTATCTGTTTCATATGACACTTTGAGATGTATATATATATATTTATATAAATATAAATAAACGGAGGGACAGCATTGGCAATGATGAACCAATGAACTGGTTCTTCTCCGATGCAACCCTGAACAAGGTATGACATTGCAAAATATCAGATTTATTCAGCAGACCAGGGCAAAGATGCGAGCTCATGAGGCAATGGCGTGAGGACTAGGACAGACAATACCTTTCTTTGTTTGCCGTTGCCAGGGGGATGCAGTCGCAGCCTCCTACCAGTCCAGTATGTACGTCTGAGATGGGAAAATCTTGTGTAGGATAGGATGTGGGAAGAAAGGGAGGGCAGACGCGATCGGGAGAAAGTTAACAAGAAATCACAATTCAGGATGATCACTGATTACACCCATTCTTCCTTTGCGTCCCGTCATATCTAGATGCTGCAGAGAGCCGTTGCTCGTGAGCGCGAGTGGAAAAGACAGGAGAGCTGGTGGACACTGGGAGTTCTGCTTCCCAAAAGTCAGTATGAACAGAGACCTGTCACTAGCTGAGGCAAAGCCACCATGTCAACGGGCGTCTTGGCTGAAGCCTCCGACCTTTTTGACAGCATTGCAATTGATACACATGGGACTGTCTTGAAAGCGCACGGCTCAAACAAACTGTGCATTTGGTGCAAATAGAGCTGCTTAAGATCGCTGTCTGAGTTTCTCGTGCCTTTGAAACTCTTTGGATGATGTTTGCTCGTTTTGCCGATGGCCCAGAAAATCTGGGTGAAGACCGGAGAAAGTGCTGCACCAATAAAGCTTGCAGTTTTCTGTAAAGGACTGATTGGAGTTGTTGCCCACCAGCTGCAAGGGAGTGAGCCGACTTGATTCTGAGGTGGCCACTGGTAGATGGCTTGCGAAAGATAAATGCTCTGCGTGCTTTGCGACCACCTGGTGAGCCAAGGAGCTCATTTGAAGCACAAAAGAAGACTGGCAGAATGAAGCCAACAAAGATACAAGCAAGCAAGAAAACAAGGGCAACATAAGAATCACCACCACCGCCGCCGCCACCACCACCAGCAGCAGCATCATCATCATCATCATCATCATCAGCATCAGCATCAGCATCAGCATCAGCATCAGCCATCGTCATCGTCATCATCATCATCATCATCATCATCATCATCATGATTCATGATCATCATCATCATCATCGTCATCATCATCATCATCGTCATCATCATCATCATCAGCAGCAGCAGCATCACCATCACCACCACCATCATCATCATCACCACCATCATCATCATCATCATCCTCATCATCCTCATCCCCATCCTCATCGTCATTGTCATCGTCATAGTCATGGTCATCGCCATCGTCATCCTCATCACAGGAGCATCAGCAGCGGCAACGGCAATGGAAACCACCCAACAAACACAACAACCAAAAAGAAAACAGTACTGGACTTAATCTTACCGGTTTGCCCACATCGCTTGGTTCCACAGGAGGACTACTGCAGTGGATTTGGTCCTATGTTACTGCGGCCGCGGTGAGCGCATTGAGTGGCTCCACGGTTTCCATCGATTGCCATGGAGGCAGGAGGACAGAATTCCAGGGACGACTGGAAACGGGACAGATAGATAGATTGCAGTTGCTGGCTCAAATGAGTTTGACCAGGTATGAAATTGGGAAGCTGGAATCCATATCATAAGTTTGTGTCAGCCACAGCCAAACCCATTTCCCAATTTTTTCAATTATGGTCCCACC